TATATATATATATATGTGTGTGTGTGTGTGTGTGTGACATCATTTAGGGCTGCTAGAAGGAGAAAAGAAAAAGGAAAGAAAGAAAAAAAGGCGAGAGTTAAATTTAGATGATAAAGGAAAGCCATCACGAAAGGGACATTAAGCGGGGTTATTTTGACATGGAAAAATGTAAAAATTTTATTGCCATTGTCGAGAATTCTAAATAGATAAAAATTAACTGTGTCATGGTGGCGAACTTATATTATTGGGATGTGAAAGCGGCTAACGGGCCAACCGCTTGTTGACGGCGAAAAGCTAATTGACGAAGTTCTTAGATGACTTCCGACGTTAGCAGAGAGGAACCCGGACGAAGCTTTGCCGAAGGGCAAGGTTTCCTTCGGGGAGGTAGACAGGGCCTGAATCCGTCAAGGCGGTTTCAAAAAGGCTATATTTTTTGGCCGAGCCTACGGGCTCGGGGATACCCACATTAAACCGGCCTTGTGCCATATTCAATCCTTGTGGGTGGGTTGATAAATAGCGAAAAGCTAATTGACGAATTCCAGATTGGCTAGCTGGCATCAGAGACAGAATTCTAAATAGATAAACATTTAACTGTGTCACGGAAATGCCATTTGGGGCTGCCACAGAATTCTAAAGAGATAAAAATTTAATAGGTCGTCCGTTGACCACACACGAGTTGCGAAAACAAAGAAAACCCAAACCATAGGTTAAGTCTTTGTCGATGGGAAGATATCATTTGGACAAGGAATCTGTTTTGTGTTGGAATTTGACTATGACAGCGAAACTATTTTATCAGAAATCGGCACCAAGAATGCAAATACGGCTAAGATAGCGAAACTACCTTATCAGGACGAAAAGTTGGTTGTGTTTCGCTAGATGACCACCCACTTGATAATTGGCGAAAATCTCATTGATAGGTACCAGGTGATATTGAGGATAAGAGCTGCGATTAAGGGACCACACTACGAAAGAAAAGAGAAAGAAAGAAGAAAAAAGGAAAAGGAAGAAAAAAGATTTTTTTTTTCTTTGAGCAAGATTTTTTTTTGAAAACAAGGCTAGTCTGGTCACACCCACACTGCTGGCAGCCCGTTGGATGAATGTTAACGAGAGCCAGGCGGAGGTGATCATATGATGCGGGGGGGATGCGACCATCCATTGAAGGGATAGGTATGAGATGTCACTGCGAGAGAGAGGGAAATCCGTTGACGCCCTCTGAGGGTTTGGTGAGATACCGATATGAGAACAGAAGAAGGTGGGAGTAGGAGAAGACTTCCAAAAGTGGAAAGGAGTGGAAAATTCCTGACCGAAAACAAAAGAAGTGGGCTGTGGATTTGGAATTATTAAGGAATCTCAAACCCCGACAAGCCCACCCCGGCTATGGTCGGCGTCCAAAGTCGCAGTTCGAGTTCGGGCAGTTCCATGCAGTTGCAGTGAGCTGAAAGCTCTGAAGACCGCCTTGCAGAGCTGACTTGAAAGATTCACGCAATTCTGACTCATTTTCTAACCAAGAAAAATTTATTTTTGAAGAACGACTTAGACTCATACCACCAAACAAGTTTTACGAATTTCGCCTGAAGACACACCAAGAACCAATTTCTTAAAGAACAGACAACTTAAGATGTTAAGAATCGCCTAACAAAAACAACGTGTCACGTATCCATATAGCGGGTTGGAAAATAGACCAGCATATAGAAAATATCCAGCAAACAGATTTAAAATATTGTTATCTTTTTTTTAACACATTTGAACCTTTCGAGTTGTTATTTTATTTTCTGTTACATCTATTTGTGCGATATCGCCCTTATTCGAACTCGACTTGCATTAGGGCCCCGACGGCTGATTGATTTCGTCTACCTAAGATCAATTCACAACGTGGGTAGGTTAGACTGGAAATCAAAGCAGTTACTTCGGTAACCAGACGTTGGAGGCGAGCTGGGAAATACAAAGCTGATACCGAATCTAACCAGATTCCCATCCGAATCAGCAAGGGGTTAGAACGTCACATTTGGTGCCGCTACCAATACCAAGTCAGTTGGTCGTCACAAGACAGGATAGCACGACTGACGCAGACATGCGGACGTCACGTTTGGAGCGGCGACGCCCGCAGGGGGGGGGGCTTATATATATATATATATATATATATATATATATATATATATATGTTCATATATGTGTGTGTGTGTGTGTGTGTGTGTGTGTTTGTCTGTGTCTATGTGTTTATGTGTGTGTATTTAAGCAGCAATCCTTCTTTCATGCACATTTCATTGAATGTGATTGTGTCGTCCCCCGGTGTCGTTGCGCCAAATGTGACATCTGCCTGGCCGCGCCCGCCGTGCTGTCCTTGTCGGGGCGGCAATTCTGACATCATCCCGTCCGTCTCCGGATTATCATTATTATAGCAGACTGTATTTCTTCGTAAAAATATATATATATATATATATATATATATATATATATATATATATATGCCTCTAATGAATACATCGGCGAAACGTCTCGACATTTAAATTAATGTATATGCGAACAGGACTTACGTTGTAACCGGTTATCGTCGATCCTCAATGCGAAGCAACGTTTCGCCTTTTGAGTACCTTGATGGGTAACAGCTTGAGAATAATAGGTGATGTAGGAATGAGTGCGTCGTTAGTGTAATTGATAACGGATCGGATTTAGTAATCGGAGAGCCGAGTTCGAAATGCAATCAAATTTCTTACATTCAGTTGCGCACGAAAATCTTTGGGAAAAATATGAATACATCAATTCTTCAGCCAAGTCAATCCTGCATCGAAATTAAACATGATCGCTCAGGGGTGCGTTCCACACCGTACGCTAAGAATATACGAAGATAAAAGGGATTTTGAATTTACAATAACATGCAATACACTTGTATGCTACCAGAACATCCCAAACTATTACTTGGAAGATAGCGTTTTGCTAAAAACTCAATGGTGTTTCCACTGACAAAGATTTACTGGAAGTGTAATTATCACCGAAATGTTAGAGAATATAAAAACAAAAAATATTACTATTAAGAAGTGATGATATGATTAATAAAAGACTCACCTAATTAACTTTATGTTGTTACGACGTTAAGACTGTAACAACGTGGGGTACATCACCTTTAAAATTAATAAATATGTAACCATAAATGCTATATATATATATATATATGTATATATATATATATTTATATATATATATATATATATATATATATTGATAAATAATACAAATATTGTTTTTTTTTTTACTTAGCTTATTCATGTTACCTACGGCATCACAACTCCAGAATTTCATAGGTAGACACTCCGGGAATCAAATCGTCCACTCGTCATATATATATATATATATATATATATATATATATATATATATATATATATATATATATTATAGTAAAAAAAATGGATGAACAGTAAGATATGTAATCCGGTATTATTATTGATATTTTTATTTTGCAAAACAGTGCTCAATGTAAATTTACAGAGCATAAATATTGTAAATTATCTGATTTACAAATATGGTTTCATCGCTACACCGGATTAACCATGTTTCGAAAACAGAAACCAAAAACTTCCAATTCAATTAAATTAAATTAAATGCATTAGTTCATTCTCTCTCTCTCTCTCTCTCAATTATATATATATATATATATATATATATATATATATATATAGAGAGAGAGAGAGAGAGAGGTATGTTTTGTAAAATCCTAAGAAGAATCTGATATATTATTCCTCCTGACATGACTTTTTCGCTTCATTCCCTTTCGTTCTGCTTTTTCTCTAAATATTTTCATGGTAATTCTTCTGATGAACATTTCTTTATGGTACCTAGACTATGCATTTAAGCGCGGTAACAGATTAGCAGCTAGTTCTCGTCATTTTACTGTTGAAATGGCTAGATATTGCCGTAAGGTCTATGTTAACAGTTTCTCCTATCGCACTTCTCGCTTGTGGAACCATCTTCCAGCTTCTAGATCCCCAATCTAATATTTAAAAGCAATGTTAATCGTTGTCTTCTGTCTTCTTAATACTTGTTTTTTTTGTCCCCGCTTCTTAATAGTAGTTTTTTGTTTTATATATATTCTCTAACAGTCGGTTAAGCCATTGTGCCCCAGTGGCTTTATTGCCTTGCTTGGAGTGAAATGATTAAAAAACGACGAAAAAATGTTAAGTAAAATCAAGCATCCATTCTCTTGAGTTAATTCGGTTTTCTCTCGAGAATATAGATTTAAAAAAAAAGTAAAATTATTTAAATAATGTGGCCAGTACCTTTCAGTATATGTCAAAATGGTGTTTTCAAAATTGTCTTAAATGCACACCCTACACACGTCTGTGTGTGTGTTTGTGTTTCTTTCCAAGTATCTGTGTGTATTAAATTAGCCTTGCATTTATCTGTCTGTTCGTCTTCATATATTTAATAACCGGTTTTGTCGCCACGATAGGAATCTTGTTTATATTATTTCCTTCAACCTTTATTGTTGCTTTTGTCTTGACCTTAGTAAGACAAGATCTTAAACTGACCTGACATCTTCTGTCCAACAGACATCGAACCCCACAAGGCGCAAACATCAAAGCTATTTTTCCAGGAAAAATAATTAAATTTTTGTGTGTGTGGAATGAGACCAAGGAATGAAAATCTCTATGAAGTCAGGAATAGAAATCCCTGCCCAATAATATATTGAAAATGAGGTTATTATATCGGCGTATCAAAAGACACGTCCGATTAAGGGAAAGAAAAGTAAACAAAAGATATTTTTCATAAACATATATTGTTTTCAGTAGAAACAGACTTTGTCAGTAATCCATGTTGTACCCACTTTTTTAAATAACTATTTCAGTCACCAAATATCACGATAATATTTGGGAAGTGGGTCGGGCCATAAATATTTCAACACCATTTTGTAAAGGCAAAGTAAAATACTTTATGGTTTGTCACTCAATAATTCTATTTTATTTGCATATTTCTACTTTGTATTTTTCAGATAACACGCATTGATGCATACATCTATCTATCCATCTATCTATCTATTTTAGTTTCGTACCTATCTATCTTAGTTTCGCATCTATTTTAGTTTCGTATCTATCTTTATATTTATCTATCTATCTATTTTAGATTCGTATCTATCTATCTATCTTAGTTTCGTATCTATCGATTTTAGTTTCGTATCTATCTATCTATCTATCTATCTATCTATCTTAGTTCTGCATCTATCTATCTATCTATCTATCTATCTATCTATCTATCTTAGTTCTGCATCTATCTATCTATCTATCTATCTATCTATCTATCTATCTATCTATCTATCTATCTATCTATCTCAGTTCAGTTATCTATCTATCTATCTATCTATCTATCTATCTATCTATCTATCTATCTATCTATCCCAGTCTCTTCAATATATATCGATCTATCTTTCTATCATGTATCACCTGATATAGTACATTCGATTTTTCTATTTTTTATGAATCTAAGGAAGGGATTCAAACAATATTAATTATTATTGTTTGGTATAATTTTCAAAATATTCATCAAGTATAGTACAAAACATACGTCCGTCTGACGATATAGAAAGATTTGGATGAATTTTAAATTAAATTTAAACATCATATTGTACTTTAATCTCATCATTTTACTGTTGAAATGGCGGGATTTAACCGTGCTAATATTTTATTCTCTCGCACTTCTCGCTTATGGAACTCTCTTTCTACATACTGATTTGCAGCTAAATTGATCTTCAAAAATCTAAATGCATCATCAATCGTCATCTTCTGTCTCCTTAATTCCAGTTCTTTAAATGTCCTTCCCTTTAATAATGTTGTTTTGTACATATTATTTCGCATTGCCCATTGCATCTTAGTGGCATGATTGCCTTGAATAGGATGGCATGTGTTGTGGTAGGATCCACCTAATTTGCATAGTGGAGTACCGACCATATACATATGGTTGGTACCGGGAAGAGAGGGAGGAATCAAGAGATTCAATCCAGAGACTCTGCCCGACTGGGACTCAGTCAACACATTCTCCAGGAACGGTCTTCCCAGGAATATACAAAAGACTATATGTAAATATTGTGTACACTTTCTTGTTTCAATACATTTTGTTCTAAGTACATTTTGTGTTGCATTATTATTAGCACTAGTCAAGTTTCAACAGCATGATAAGAAAAATTTTATAATTACAGAAAATGTGCAACATTTACAAATGCAAAATATTTGAACAAATATTGGTGCTTATGTCATTGTGATGACGACAAAGCAATTAATTCAACATCATTTTGATATGTATAATATATGTCAGTATCCCTCAATCATTTTAAGCAACGGCACACCTGGGAGCAAATTTAAATATCACGACTCACTTAAATGTTTAGTGGCTATACATTTAAATGTTATAAAATAAAACCATAGATTAAAAAAAGGAAAATTATTAAATCAAATTCTCAATTCTGTATATCAGAAACTTCGACAATATTAATTCATTTGTTAAATTCTTGTTCTCCAATGTATGCCTTCCTTTTAACAATTCTCCACGAACTTTCAGTCGGGTCAGGCGAACAAACCAGACATTCATCTAAACGTCTTCTTATACAAATATTCATGAGTTTTCTTCGACAAATATGTGATATTAAAATACCTAAATGTTTCATTGATGAATGGTGCGAACATCTACCGGTGTTTTTAAGAAGAAAGACAGATTGTCCAAAACAAATATGAACACACCTTTTTGGAAATAGGATAAATTTCAAGATTTCAAATTAATAGCTACTGTGCAAGTATGAAGTCATATAATGGACCATAATGCTGATTTGATCAATTATATCGCTAGCAACCATGCTGCTCCACAGCCTCCTCTCTTGTATAGATCTATTTTTGTTTTTAAATTAATACCTATCTTACCGTTCTCTATTCCATTCACCAAAACGTATGTAACCAAATTTATTTGCATTATTCGCACTATTATCCTCATCTTTGTTGCCATATTTATTACAACGTTTCGGCCGTTGAAACATGGCACGTTGGACTAGAACAGTCTAACAGTGAGCGAAATAAAGGGTTCAATTCGACATTCCAGCCACCTGAAGAACGCCGGAGCGTACAACGGCCGAAACGTTGTAATAAATATGGCGACAAAAATGAGGACAATAGTCCTAATAATGTAAAAAATGTGCATACTACCTCATCTCAGAAATATAGACAGATAGTAACCAACTTTAATCAACAAACAGTTAAAAGCAATGTCAATCGCTATATACCGTTCGTCTAATTACTCTTTTCTCTCCCGTTTCGTTATTATTGCTTCTGTTCCTAATTTTTCCACACCCTGTAACTCCTTGATTATTTGTGGCTTTACTGCCTTGCATTTGGAGATACCGATTAAAAAACGTATTCGATGTTTTCCATTGTTTTCTTATCTTCAGTTTACTGTGAATGTGGAAATCTTCAGGAAATTCTTTTATTATATTCCAGAAACTTTGATATTTCTGTCTTTTGATTTTTATTTACTTGTAGTTCTGATTTCCTTAAACAATTATTATTGTTCAAGTAATGTTATTATTAACATGTAGAACTACATTCCTGTCGCTTCAATTCACTTCTTCATCTGTAAGCAGACCGTCTAACATTCCATTACATATTATATAGAAACCCATCACTCTTTTCTTGTCTTTCAACAATATTTTCCTCTCATTTAATATTAAATTTCCAAATTGGAAAGTTAACAAAAAAGACGTTCGGCTGTTAGCGCTGAAGTGTGAAAAATATCTTTTAAAATAATGGACGAACCTATGCAGTTCGTGACGAGGGGAGAATCCATATGTTGTTAAAATGATATACAATTTTGAAGGCACATGTAGAGCCATATTCAAAGAAGAAATCTACTAAAATATTGACTTTTTATGAGCATAGAAGATTTGAATGAAGGAAAAAATTGATGAATATGGCAAAAAAGTCAACGATTACGAAAAAAGAAAAATACAAACAACTTTTAGAATATTCAGCAGCGACAGGCAAATGCAACAGTCATAAATAAGACGTCAAGTAACCGTAATACCTTATCTCAGAGATATCCCAATCACCTGAAGAAGGCTGGGGCGTACAACGGCCGAAACGTTATGAATATGGCAATGAAGATGAGGATAACTGTCCGAATAATGTAAATAATGCAAGTAAGCATAATACCACATCTCAGAGATATGCCAATCACCCGAAGAAGACCGTAGCCTATAAAGACCAAAGTGCTGTGAATATGGCCATGAAGATGAGGATAACAATGTAAATAATGCAAATAATGATAATATTTCATCTCAGAGATACACCAATGAACTGAAGAAGTCCGGAGCGTAGAACCGCCGAAACGTTGTGAATATAGCAATGAAGATGAGGATAACAGTCCGAATATCGTAAATAATACAAGTTATCATAATAGCTCACCTCATAGATATAGACAGATAAGACGTCAGTTTTGATGGGTACTGCACTAGGGTTTGTATTCTGCTTCTTTTTCTTCTTTGTATTATTATTATTGCTATTACTATTACCACCGTAGCGGTTTACATTTCTATCTCTGTCCTTACCTATGAGTATATCTGACTGTGAATATAAATATTCGTTTATATTCTGTACCAGTAACTTTTACTCCGTGTGTATGTGTGCGCATGGACATGAATAAGACAGAATTTATAATGACGCTTTATTTCCTAAATTGGTGTCGTCCATTTAAAAATGGTTGAACCTACTAACCTGAGCCATTTTATTCGGGAATGAAGTGAATGCGAACAGCGATCGCAAGAAATTGACACTAATGCATTAGCCGAGCTGAACACACCATTTAAATGAGAATCATTTCTGGAGACAGTCAGCCATTCACTGCGTTCGATTGGGCAATGCCCAGATTCTTTTCTGTGTATGCCAATCGGGAGACATTTTAGTCTCCACGTCTTAACGCTTCTTCTCTTCCGTCTTTCCTCTTTGGACAATTACAACACAAGACATGTCTGTCTCTTTCCATTTCCAGTCAGTTCCTTTAGCTTTTTATATATTTCTTACTCTATCGTTGATTGCCTCTTTGTATCCATTAGACTCTTCCTATTTATCTATCTATCTATCTATCACAATCTGTTCTATGTATTTATTACAGTATGTTCATGTCTATACAATTATCTATATCTTAGAGAATGTACGTATCTATCTATCTATCTATCTATCTATCTATCTATCTATCTATCTATCTAATCTCATCTGAATTATTTTCATTTTTCTGACTGGTAAAGTAAAATACTTTACGGTTTGTTACTCAATAATTGTATTTTATTTGCATATTTCTATTTGCATTTTTCAGATAACACGTAATCACGCGCACATCTATCTATCTATCTATCTATTTATCTATCTATCTATCTATCTATCTATCTATATATATATATATATATATATATATATATATATATATTAGTTCTATCACAATCTGTTCTTTGTATTTATTACAGTATGTTCATTTCTATATAATTTTGTATATCTCAGAACATGTACATATCTATCTATCTATCTATCTATCTATCTATCTATCTATCTATCTATCTATCTATCTCATCTCATCTCAATTCATTTCATTTTTTTCTCTGTTAGTATTTTACTATTGGTTACACTCTGTTCATATCAGCATCTTTACTAGTTGGGGTGGCGGGAAGCTCTCGGGCCGAAGCACGTACAAAATTAAGGCACAATAACTAAACAGTAAAATATTTCTTTATAGCAACCAGTAGCGTATCTACTCTCAAACTAATGAAGCTTAATTTTCAAGGCCCCTAATCAAAGTGCCAACACGAGTTTTGTTATATGGGACTATTCATTGATCAAATTGTTTTCGGATTTTTCTTTTCTTTTCTAATCATAATTCTATTAGATTCTCAATCTATACGTTATGTGATAAGAATTGATGCCTTTTGAGTTACGCTTAATTTTTTTTGCACTTGTCAACATGAAATACTTTAAGTTATTTGAGAAAGTATTGCAGCCTCATTTTCAGTTTATGGTAGATTAAAAGCAGTTACATAGCAGTTTTTATAATCAGGAAAAGATATAAAATCTTTATAATAACAATAAACATTTATTCCTAAACATTTTTTGCGTTCATCAAATTTTCTCTAAATATGTGTCCAGAAGAAGACTAGGTTCGATCGATAGATAAAACGTTTTGGAAAACATTGTGCTTGAGTTTGCTGTTCGAAACATTTCTTATAAAATCCTATTTCAATGTTATTTTTGTCATATAAACAATATATAAACTGGGTCCATTCAACGTATCGGAGTGAAAGCTTGATTGTATTCGTACGTACACAGACTTCGTTGATTCTTTCAAAACTTGATAAAGCACGGATAGTACAATAGAAAGAATATGACGGCTCAGTATGGATGTCAGAATGTAATAAGTTACTTTGTTCAAATAACAGTCGAATTGATACCGAGAGAGAAGGGTCAGATGTAACATGAAATCAACATTAAGATAGATTTTCGTGTTGAATGATTGGGACCCAGGAGACCACGAGATAAAATTTATGAAAGTATCTAGGAACAAAATATAGTCATAAAAATATGGGAATGAGGTGGAGACAAAAAAATGGGAAAGGAATAAGTTACTTCTGAAGACATCATTTCAATGACTATTTCGTGGTTTAAATTTGATTCTTGACGACTACTCCCAATTAATTCGGTCCAACACAAGACAAACTAAATATATGTTAACTTATTATTTACAAAAATATTTCAGTTTCAGAACAGAAAAAATTAATGATATATTGTTAACCAGACTTCTGAAGTTTTGGAAAAGCATTACCACATTAATTCTTACTGTATAATTCGCTATTAATTATAGAAATAAAAATTACAATCCGGTATTGCTTGTAGGTTAATGAGAAAAAAAGTCATTATTAATTATAGGTTTCTGCATAAAATTCATTAATGTCCAACGTTCTAAAAATTGTGCCGGGCTGAAAAAAAATTATTGTGTTAAAAAATGACTACATTTCCTCGTCTCACAAAGAATTTTGTTAGAAATTATCACAAACTTGCATTATTTACTTTAATTTCTATTATTTACAAAACCCTAGCGCAGTACCCGTCAAAATTGACGTCGTATCTGTCTATATTTGTGAGATGAGGTGTTATAATAACTTGCATTATTTACATTATTCGGACTGATATCCTCATCTTCATTGTCATATTTACAACGTTTCGGCCATTGTACGCTCCGGCCTTCATGTCTATGTCTTTCTATATATCTGCCTATCCCTCCGTGATGAGCTATTATGATTACTTGCATTATTTACATTATTCGGACTGTTATACTCGTCTTCATTGCCATATTCACAACGTTTCGACCGTTGTACGCTTCGGCTTTCTTCAGGTGATTGGAATTTCGAACCAAACCCTTTATTTCGTCCAACGGGGTAGATTGTACTAGTTCCAAGTGCCATGCTTCTCCCAAATGTCTTAGTTATTTTCTTTTAACTCAAATCTTCACGTTTTGGTTCACCACTGCTGTGGCCTGATATTGAACTCACAACACTTTGAGTCTAGTCACTAGTAACGTTTTTATCCACTGGGCCATGTGTCCTCAAGGAGTAGATCAAAAGAATTGTTAGTAGTGCATAGGGGCGCATGGTAATCTGTTTATATTAAGTGTCTTAACATATAGAAACCCCTTTTTTAGGAAATACTAAAAATGAAAATTACTACGACTAACCATTGTGAATGATGAAAATATGGCATAATAGAAATATCCAGTTCATCTGAGTTGGTTCTCGAATAAAAAAAGAAAATGGGAGAATATCCACATTTGACCTAGAAGACACTGGAAATGGCGAGAACTTTCTTCAAAGAGGCCGTCCATACGGTTATATTAGTATTAATTTAAAAAATCATGGTTTCCAACCCAGATAAAACTTCACTGCAACAATACAAAGATTGTACATTTTGGATGGGAATTTAGCGGACTAAGCCCAGCAATATTTTTAAATAAGTATTTATGCAATTACTATACCCTATTCTTTTCATGGAAATAAAATCGATTTATCTAAGTTAAAATTAAGTTCTTGTTCAATCAACGACGAAATTATTCGTACACTTAACAATTTTTAATATTTTTTATAAGCACAAAAAAGGAATATAAAACTCAATTTTCAGAACGATAAGCTAAATACAACAAATCTGACACAGAATTATGCAAAATAGGAAAAGACAAAATAGGAAAACAGAAAATTGTTCGTAAACTATGAAAATAGAAAAAAATTGAACAATTTTCACAATATTAATATAACTTAACTCGTTTACTAAAAAATTTATGAGATTTGAACAAGTCTTTTCTGTGATATTCTTCCGTTCTTCAATGGTTACAAGTTCTTATTCCTGCAGTTTTTTTGGTGACCGAGGATTTATTCGAAATTTCATTTCTTGCCATAGCTTTTCAATAGGATTCAAGTTAGAATTCATTGAAGACTATACCAACACTTTTTTTCTTTTTCTGAGGCCACGTAGTCACTGATTTAGACGTATGTTTGGGTTCATTATCTTTCTGGGAAGTAAATCACCGCCCTAGATGAAGCTTTAGCGCTGATATTTGTCGATTTTCATCCAGAATTTTGATACAGTCTGCATATTTCATTATTCGTCATTGCAATTAATTGTCCAGTCCGCCCTTGAGCTAAAACAATCCCAAAACATCATCAAGCCACCTTCATGCGATAATGTTGCCACAGTGTTCTTTGGTAGGAAAGCCCCACCTTTCTTGCGCTAAATTTTCTGTGTGTCATTAGGTTTACAAAGCTCAAGTTTTGTTTAGCACTTGTTCGTAAAAGCAATTTTCTTTGTCCAAGAACGTTTTGAAAAAATTCAACCTAGCAACCTTTTTAAACAACTGGGCGACTACTTAGATAACCAGTTTGAAATAGTGCTATAACTATTTACCGATTGCGGAAGTTAATAATTCTCTGTCTCAAGTCAACACTAAGCTCCTTTGTCTTCCGCCATCTTGTTGTTAACGTAATAATAACAATAGTGACACTATGTGCACCACGGGATGTTCTTTGCTGGAATTATCACAAATATTCTACTGAATAAATAGTTTAGAAGGCTTCACCGATTAAATAATTATGCAAATTAGATATACTAACACGAATCAATGAATTTAAAACGATATTTTCTACTGTACGAAATCATTTGTCTTTTCTTATTTTGCATAATTAGCATAGACTGTATAACCTCAATTCTATTTCAAAAGTATAATGGAGGGGGATTAGCTCCCGAACCCCCGACTCTAGAACAGCCCTAAAATCAATTGTCAATCGACTTTTATTTCATAGTTCACGGATTTTCATATCTTGTCAAAATTTCCGAATGTTCCGTTACTGAAACTTTCGTTGTTTAATCTTTCTTTACCGAAGTTTTCTTTACCGAAGTTTTCTTTACCGAATTTTCTGGTCACAGGCATCTACAACTACATCCCTTCCTGCTATCAATCATCCTGTTTCAGTAGACATACAATCATTGCCTGTTGCTGCTAGTGGTGGTGAAATTTTACAAAAGTAAATACCCAAATCTGTTACAGTAAATGCAATCAAATCAACAGATCCAGTTCTTTAGAACATTAATGATAATAACACAATAAATTGCTAGATACGTAGTGGGCTGTTATCATGTCTGAATCATGATAGCAACCTTTCAAATTCCCGCATAGTTTATTAAACAGATCGAGTAGGAAGGCAAGGTATTTATCAAACAATATTTTCAAACGTGAACTGCGGAATGGCGTGTGTGTAAAATTTAAATGGCTTCCATCCCAAGGTCGTTTGTACTATTTGTATGTCGCCTATCTTCCAAGAAAGAATCGCCCTTTGCTACAGTGGGATTCAATGACTGGAAGTACAGCAATATTATTGTAGAAAGTGAAAATAGAGAAGGACATCGAACCTGTATGACAGCATATTTGATAAGACATAAAGAAACTAAGTGTAGATTCTTTATCGCCTGAGCAACATCGATCAGAGCAGAAATATTTCCATAAAGTGTTGACACGTGTGGTTTCTGTAATTCGCTTTCTTGCCTCCAGTGATTTGCCATTTCATGGAAAAAAAATCAGATTACTGGGTCAGCAAAAAAATGACAACTATTTCGGTATACTAGAGCTTCTAACTGAATTTGGCACTTTATTGGAGGAACATCTCAAAATATATGGAAAT